TTAAATTTGCAAAAAGGATTAAATTAATATTTTTACTTGTTTAGTACTGATTTTATTACTTCAATATTTGCATTAAATTTTCAGTAATCACTAGCCAAGTTGATATTAATCAAACCAAAGCTTACTAGATTACTCCGAAAAGCCTACCGATTAAACGTGCTTATCGGTATCAATAAAACACTTAAAAATAACGTGACATCCATTTCTACTTCACTACATATTCAAGCGTTAAAATTCTTTCCCTATTAACATGTCGTTTTCCCAATCCCGTCGAAACACATTTTGATATTAAAAACAGCCAATTAAAAAAAATACCCACAAAAAGCACTACACAATAATTAGTAACCTGAAAAAATAGATTCCATTTTTAGCTTTTGAGGGTCCATCAGGATAATTAATCAAATACGCGTTAATTTAAATTTGTACAAACACATCAAGCAGCTGCAATTAATTTAAAAATTTCGGGAGCCCAAAATTATCCTGGGGATTATAATAAGTCAGTTGACTTATTAACAGTTGACAATTGACAACTGAAACTAATAATAACTAGTGCTTTCTACCCATGTAACTTTGTAATAGCATAATCAAACATTCAGACGTTTGTTTAGCCAACGAAAAAAGCTCCCTCAAGAGACATAAAAAAATTTATTCTGACATAGATTATGTTCAATTTACCAAAATACGTGCTCAGTGTAAACAGGCAATCCATCAAGACTACAGTGATTATATTTCTGGGTATTGTATCAGTCGTAATATAAAAAAATGGAATTATTGGATCATACGAAAAATATGCGTGATTTGCCTACATGCATGAAGTTGGGTAATAAAAATGTCTCCGGACCAACTGACATTGCAAATGAATTTGCTAACTATTAAGTGTGTGTATAAGAGAATGTTGAGAGAAGTGAAATTTCTGTCATAAATGCGTTGATCAGCCTGGTTGTACGCAGTTAAATTGACCTTTTACTTAATGATTTTTCATGAATGTGTATTAAGTGTACAAAACAACGGAGAATTTTGTTATTTTCGATTCAACATTAATGGATAATTTATCCGTTACGGTGTTACAGTGGAAACAGTGTGAGAAGCACACACTAATAAAACTAAGCAGCGGCCGGACGGTTGCACTTGAAAATTCAGGAGGAGGAAATTGAATAATTGAACTCTTAACAACATATTATTATATTTTAGGACGCTTAGAAAGCAAAGTATACTAAATTGACACACTGTGATGTTCTTCTCATGGTATTTTCACTCTATAATTGTCCATATTGGGGACTTCAGTTCGCTTGATACATATTTTACAGTTGAGAATCCAAATGCAGTAAAGTTTGTTAAACACAGAAAATTTAAAATGGAAGCCGAAAAACACGTATTCAGGTAGTTCAAATTTGCAAATAATAAGGAAAAACATAGAAGAAAAAACCGAAACAGATAGAGTACGAGAACAAGAAACTTGGTTTCAATAAGACGGTGCTCCTCCTCATTTTGGTGTTAACGTACGACACTACCTAGATAATATTTTTCTGGATAGATGAAGTGGCCTAAAAGTCGTCAGTCAGTCTTCAGTGGTGGCGTGGCGTGGTTTGGCACCCACCAAACCACGCAAAATATTCTATGACGTTATCAGGAGCGGAATTTAAATACAAAATTCTTATGATTTCTCTACAAGAAATTACCGTGTATGACATTTTTTTTAGTATCGTGTTAATCAAAGAATATTATGTATATCAGAGAAAAAATTAAAACCAAAGATTAAACCCCACCCTTACCTGCCCTGATTTAAATAGTAACGAAGTTTTCATTTGCTGGCAGACCTAGGGGCGGAGTCTAATTGTAAAACCCATATTAGCATTTTAAACGTGTTTTAGGTTTCTGAGAATTAAAAAAATCATCACAATTGAGTTGGGGAGGGTGAGCGGGGCTTATATTTTGCCTTTTTTCTTAATATACATAGTATTCTCTGAACAACACGATACTCAAAACCATGTTTTAATTTGTTGTAAAGAAATAAGTATTTTGCAGTTAAGCTCTGTCCCCTTGATTCACAGTGAATAAAAAAATCACCACAATTAAGATAGGGCGGGTGGGCGGGCTTACATTTTGCCTTTTTGTTTTAATATGTCTATATTTCTTTTCACAGTGTAAAACTAAAAACATAAAATAGAAAATTTGTGTAAGAAAATATCGATTTAGGCCCCGCCCCATAATTGCAAAATCCATATTTCCTTGCAAGAACCATTTTAGTCATGTTTTAAGTTTCTTGTTATGAAAAGATGGCTGTGTATATTAAGAAAAAAAAAGGCAAAATATAAGCCCCGCCCACCCGCCCCATCTCAATTCTGATGATTTTTTTATGGATAGTAAGCTGAGGGGCGGAGCTTAATTGTAAAATTCTTATTTTTCTATGAGAAATTACCATGTGAAATGTGTTCTTAAGTAATCCACGAAAACGAAATGTATTACTTGAAAAAGAAAACTAAAAAAGACGCTCCACCCATCCGTGTCGCTCCCAACCGTGATGAATTTTTCATTTGTTATCAGACCGAAGGGCGGAGCGTAATTGCAAAATCGATATTTCCCTATTTTAAACATGTTTTAAGTTCCTCGTTGTGAAAAGATGACTACACATATTAAGAAAAAAATAGGCAAAGTGTAACTCACCGCCCTATCTCAGTTGTGATGATTTTTTTTATTCGTCGTAAGCCAAGGGAAGGAGCTTAATTACAAAATCCTCTACAAGAAATAAAAAACATGTTGTTGAGTATCGTGTTGTTCAAAGAATACTATGTATATTAAGAAAAAAACAAGCTAACAATTAAGCCCCACCCATACCCATCCCAAGCTCAATTGTGATGAATTTTTCATTCGTTGTCAGATCGAGGGGTGGAGCCTAATTGCAAAATCGATACTTTCTTAGAAAAAGTTACCATTTTAAACATGTATTAACTTTTTTCTTCTGAAAAGAAGACTACACATATTAAGAAAATAGGGTACAATGTAAGCCCTTGTAGTTATAATACCTAATCTGTTTTTGAAACGAATAGCAATAAATCTTGTTGATTTAAACGTCGAGAACTACCTTTAATAATGCATGAGTATTGACAGACGTTACAGTGTAGAACATGATGGCAGCTATTTGAAATATGGGCGTTTCGGTGAACAGGTGATTAAATGGCTTAATATGAGTGGACCTCATTATCCCTATCAAAATTTGATTCTCCTTTCAGTTAGCAGCACTGCACACTACCCCAATTTAATTGTTTGAAAACCCAACGTCAACGAATGATATAAACGACGCATACAAAATTTTTTTTTCTCTGCGTATTTATCTAACAACGTTTACGATAACGGCGAACAGCAACGTCAGCGATAAATTTATAAACCGGCCTTTATGTAGAACAACATTAAATGTTACGAGAATATCATTGATTGCTCTGTAACGATGGTCTAGTTCTTCGTAAAATCTATCAAGACATTATTTTCATGACTCTTAGAGTACGAAGAAATAGGTCCCCCGTTTCCGTCTGTCTGTTTGTCTGTCTGTCTGTCCGTCTGTCTACCGTCCCGATTTTTTTTTATGTTTTTGCAGAGTGATTCTTCTGTAAGTATTCTCTAGCTGTGCGAGTCAGTTGTCGTTGTCACTCCTTGGTGCTTGGTACCCGGGGCGGACCCCCTCCACCGCCACCCCTTTATGCCGCCACTGTCAGTCTTTCCAGCTTTTCCAACAAGAGCTCTTTTTACTTTGATTTAGGATAATCAAGTTGTGCTAATATTTTAAACAATTATTGATTTCAACAAAATTATAAACATTTCTTTTTGGTAAGTTAACGTCACTTTTCGCACTAACTTACGATATGTAAAAAGACAATAGGGTTCTCATTAATAGAAATATCCCGCCTAAAAACTAAATCGGTATGTCCCTATCCGTTTTTAAATTTCATTTCCTACAATTAGTGAAAATTGTGCTAAATTTAGTTAAAATTAAATCAGCTGAAAAGTGTAAATTTTTGGAGGTTCCAGAAGGCACAGAAGAATTGAAAAATTAATAAACTTTAGAAACGCAGGGATCGCGGTTTGCTGTTTATTTTTTGCAGGGATGAGAGACGTATAGACAGGTGTAGGAAATAGGGCAGTGTATTCAGACCTTTAGTATTATGTATGTTGATGGTGAAAGACGTCGGTCTTTTATGCAGAGTTTAATGCTTCTGGGTGTTTTAGTTTTCCGAGCTCATAATTTTATAATTTGTCAGAACATGTTTTTCAGTTGCCTACTAAATTTCAGGGCATCGTAAGTGCTGTTCTATAATTCTGAGAACGAGAATTTTCTATCACTTTTTGTTTGCAAATTGATATTAATTATCATTACAATCAGATCCTTGAATTAACATTGCTTGTCCCAATATTTTCATCCCATCATTCCAACATTTGCATAGCATTTTCAGTAATCAGTAATCGCAGATAATTTGCCGATACTCTAATCAAAACAAAGCCTGCTTGATTACCCCATCCCGTAAACTGATCAAACATGCTTATCAGTAGCTGCAGATTATGCAACACCTAAAAATAACCCAACACCCAGTTCTGCTCTATTTCATCTCCAAGTGCCAAAAATCCTCTACCTACACACCGATACAGCGTTTTCCCAATCCCGCCAAAAAATTCTTCTACATTAAAAAAGTCGAATTACTCTTGAAAAATGACGCACCCCCAAAATCACCAATTCTCTTATACAGAATAAATGAAAAGAACAAACAAAAAGCACTACTCGATAATTAGTGATATGAAAAAGCGCGAATCGCGCCGACACATCCCACCCCCAGCTTCCGAAAGGTCGATCGGGGTAATTAATCATATATGTGTTAATTTAAATTTATATAAACACAACAACCCCTGCCATTGCATTTAATCTTAATATTTCAGTGGCGAAAATCGCGCAGGCCAACACGAAAACATGGCAGAAGGAGGCGACGGACGAACAGTTGACTGCCGGCGTCCGTTTCGCGAGCATGGCCAACTGCGTTTCCCCCGCTCATCGTTCTGTTTTCCCGTTCTGAGTAGCGGAATTTTTTCGGGATTTTTGGGGGAACTGAAGTGGCGCGATTTTCAAAAAAAAGTGACCGTTTTAATAACTGGACCATTAAACAAACGATAATGTGGTCTGTGTTGATGAATTATAATAATAAGGAAGTTGAGTAAACACTAACACAAAAAGTGAGACGTCCATTCATTTCAGACAGTTCTGGGAAATAAAGGTTGCCAAAGTAACGTTACTATCACAACAAATTTAGTGAATGTGATGTGTTTTGACGTTCTGTAAGCATGGATTTGTAGGCCGTCGTTAACTCGTCATAACAAAGGGAGCAATTCGATGTACAACCGGTGGTTGAGCAGTCGGATGCATCGCATTGTAAGTAGCATGGAACTTTATTCGCGACCTTCATCACTGTCAGACAAAATATTTAGTTAAAAAACATTGATAAGAGGCGATAAATTAATTTCGTATGAATTTCCCAACAAAACCGCACTGTTTTTATACATAAACCGCAAATATTTACCCTATTATTCAGCGGTGTTTGGGATTTTTGAGGTTAAGGCAGCGCCACCTACAATGTTGAGGTTATGTTAGCGCCATCTAGTGTACGAGTAGTTGTGTTGAGCTCGAGCTATTAATAGATTGTCTTTTTTTTATTTACGGCGGTAATTGTGTGTTTCATTTGTATGTTGATTATCGGTCTGGTGAGAAAAAAACGTTCAAACAACAAACGAAGAGTGTAAACAAATTATTGAGTTTTTACCTTTAATGGGTGTGCGGTGTGTACTTTGTTTCAATCGGTTGATTTCAATGTGTAAATGGAACGGTAATTATTAGTTAGTGTCGACGTGCCATAAATCAATTGGTCGAAGATGACAAACGAATTTCGTATTTTTGGATTGGTTTGGAACGTTGAACTGAAGTGCGTTTTTATTTTTATAGCGGAAAGTGAAATTATCCCTGCTTGTGACTAGGTCACGGAGTTCATCCTGTTCTAGATGTTAGCAGGTGTGACAAGTAATTTCAAGTATAACTAATTTTAAAATACAAAGTGTAAGGTTTCTGATTAAGTTCAAAATACAAAGTACTACATCCTTAATTAAGTTCATTTCTGTTATTTCCCCTGCATTTAAGTTTCCACTGCCTGCCACTAATGAATTTAATTATTTTATTTTTATAACTTTTAGTTGGTCGACGCCGCTGCTTAAAGTCGTTTGAAGTGCTTTGAATATACATTATTACATTTTCAAATCTTTAAATTTCTACAAATTTTACAGTTAATGTAAAATGATTTGGAGGGTTCTTTAATTATCTTTTGAAAGTATAAATCAACACAAATTTTTTATCAATACATACATGTACATGTACATAATTCTTCAATGTGAATTTAAATTAACTCTTACGTGTGTACTTTTTTTAGAAACATTTGCCACTATATCCTCCTATATTTACATTTAGAAAATCTTTGTGGTAGACAACAAATCAACTTGAAGATAGTGGTGAGTTATAAAATTTTATTGTATACGAGATAATTAAAAAATGACGCTCTAACTCTATGGAACGTTGTTGAGGACTGTATATTGACCAAAGAAAAAATAATTTTAAAAAACCTTGTCCCAAGATGTAGAAGATACAGGCCTTCAATTTTAAATTTTTCTTTTAGATATTTGACTAGGTATATTTAATTCAGTGTTCAAAATAATTTTGAAAATATCATAGCTGTATTGTCTTTATTTTATAATATTACACATTTTTTAATTTGTCTTTCTACATCAATATTTTGTTTTTGTAAGTGAACGTCAGATTGACGTAAGGAATTTTTTTAATGATTTTTCTCGAACTTGGATTCGTGAATTTAAAAATGCACCACTGTCTTGTTAAAATTTTAATTTATCTTTTTTAAACACTAAACGTCTTCTTTTCTTTAATTCGATAACCAGTTTCGGCTTTCTTGGTCATGCTCAGGTTGAAGTTGAATAAATTAAGCACATTGAATAAGAATTTGTTACAATTATTAATTAAGATAAGCTAAACTTTAATCTACTTATCTTATCATTTAAGAATTTGAAAATCTTTCTTGTTCTAACATGTTTGAAAATCCTGCGTGTTTAGTCAAATAGTAAATCGTAACTGCAATTTTTATTTGAAGCAAATCTGTTGTTCTTTACAAAAGAGATTTAAAACTTCAGAGCTTCGGTAAAACCATCAATAAAAATGGTGAAACAACCAAATTATAAAATAATTGAAAATTGAATCAGACATATGATGGATTTTGCATGCGAACGGAATTGATGTTATGCATATACAAATTAAAAAAGTAATAATAAAATCAACCACAAAAAAACAGAAACAAAAACAGTTACGATAAATCTGGCACGTCAAAAACAAATTTTTAATTCTGATGTATAGCTGAAAATTCAGAGAAAATACCACTGCTAATTTCAAATAAATTAAAACAAAATTCTCTAAAGCTTTTTCGTTGTTCCGACCAATTTAAATGCCGATAATTGAACGGTGTGTACTCGTTACATATTTATCGGTTTCCATTTACACAAAATTGAGCTTTGCTTGGATATCTTTTCGATTAAACTTGAAATGTGCCGAAAATGTAACCTTTATTTTAACCGGAAATGCTGTACATGGTGTTTTTTTTAAGACTTCCACACCTTTTGATTTTTTTTTATGTAAGTGTAATCCGCCTGTACATTATTTGATAAAGAATATTGTCGGACTGAGAAACATAAAAAATGTAAACACAAATTCCTGTAAAGCATTTTGTTCCTGAAAGTTCTAAAATAAAACTGTAGTTGTACTTGATTCCGATCTAAAAAGTGGTATGAAAAAATGAAATAAATAAAAAGAATCGTGCAGCCTTTTACACCTAATAAGGTAATGACATTAATCTTAAAAACCACAATAAAGTATATTACTCGAATTTATAATGGCTATAGTAAAACTGTTACACCGGGGCTAAGTGATTGTTTCAGGTCATAGAATACAAAAATACAGGATTCCCGGTTTTCTCTCTCTACCTATGAAATGTTTTTTTAAAAACATGGTCTCCCAAAATTAATCTCAAATGTTAGATCTAATTTAGCATTATCGTGAAGACTGTGGTAATCTAATCAAAATTTGATCTACTCACCATGATAAAAAATTGTTATTATCAGTTTGACATTTTTTTTGGTAAATCCCTCTTGAAATTGTAACGGAAACTGCTCCTTTAGTGGTGGTTAATAATCTACCCTTAGGTCCAGATTTCCACTTAAGGGTTGCTCCAAACAAAAACTAAGTTTGTCTAGACGAATTTCACGACCTGCGTTCAAACTTCTTCGAACTTTCGCCAAGATACTAAAATTCACGTAGTTATTACATAACATACCCAAATATCCAATTATTATATAATTTTTCTGTAAAAAGTTTGCGCTGAGGTGCGATGTTTTCTATGTGTAGTTAAAAATCCCAATATATTTTTGTGTTCACAAAAACTGTAAGAACTTTGACCACCTTATTAAGAGAATTTCAATTTTTTTAGTTTTTTTTGTTTCATTTGGTGGTGAATTATCACACCCTTTTCACGTTGCTTTTACGTTGTTTGTTCATTTCCGCCTCTTCGCGTCCTCATCGCTGGACCCATTTTCTGTGTTAATCACCTCTCAGGCTTTTATTGCACTCGTGATGAGCACTCATCCATAATCTTGATGCACTCAGCACATGTGATTTTACTTTCACATTATATCGCCTTTTCTCATTTCTCATAATCCTTTCAGCCCGCCCATTTTCATTAAAATCCAGAAAAAACCAATCTCCATATCGTGCATCAACTCTCGTTTAAAAGCACAAAAAAGATATTCCGAACTCTCAACTTTTAAAATATGACGAAAATAAACATTGTTGCAATTCAGCGGGGAGATATTTTCGACTTTCTCAACAAAACGAATGATGGATGATTCGCGAATGTACTTTACGGGAATCGAAACGACCCTCCGTCCCATAAATAAAAAACAAACAGCAGGGCCGGCTTCAATTTGTGTGCACTCAGATGCACAACAACAAGCTTTTCCTCTCTGCAATAAATAATGACGCTCTCAACACCACAATGCATTCAGAATTAAATATTAGCAAGACAATTCACTCAATAATTTATATATTTATAACTGCGAGGTTTATTTAAAAGTATTTAAAAACTAACTAATCAATAACTAACGTAACAGTAGTAAATAAGACGAATGATATCGAATTTCTTTAAGAATGAACGCAAACCTATTAAAAAAACGTGTTGTTGACGCTGAAAGCAGTTGTGAACGCTACTGTAAGTCTTCTATTTGTGAAAAACCTTACGAAGAATTGCTCGAACGGTGCTTGAATAAATCAGTAGAACAAAAGCGGAAAATATATTAGAATCGCAGTTTTCACCTGTTTGCACAACAACATTTTATTTTTTAATGTAGCTTTTTGATATTAAGTTAATACGACTCAACAATTATGCTTCAACTTTTCGGATTCAACTCCAAGTTGAATTAGTTTAAGTTTGGTCTGGCAACAATAACCGGACAAAATTTGACCATCTTGTTAATTTCAGGAAAGTGAAGTGAAGTGAAGAATATGGGTAATTTATATATAACTTATTTTGCAAAATGACCAGAACGATACTTTTGCTGAAAAATGAATCTTTAGTCAGTATGTAAAGAATACGACATTGACGGGTCAAATTATTGGTTAAAAAAATCTCTTTTGCGTGGCGCTACAATTTTTTCTTGAAAGAATGCACTTATTCGACCCTTAACTCTATTATCTCTAAAATCTGTGAACGTAGGTTTATGCTGTAATTAATGGAAGTTCTTTCAATGACACGTAATTTTAAAACAGAGGACAAGGCGGACACTTCTCATTATCTTACAATTTGTCCAATCTCTTGCATTTGTCAGGTTCTGGAATTAATAACACTGAGCAACAAGATTTTTGAATCTGGATTTAGCGGCAGTTTTTTAGTAAAATCGTTTTTTTTTACAATACACGATCCTTGACAAACGTTGTAATGAATGCGAGTGTTATAATAGCCATAAAATAAAATTGTATACACTATTTTTTCTGCAACCAGTTACAATAATGAAAAAAATATCAAAATATTTGAAGTTTAGCAGTAACAAAGAAATATTATTCTTTTTGGTAAGTAATGACAGTCTGAATCATACAATTTTTAAAGAGCAATTGCATGGGTATTTTTCTAATACTATGATTAGATATCGTTGACGTTGAAAAAATGGGTTCAAAATTTGATTCCCCACGTTTACTTTATTTTGATTTAATTAATCAATGTATGTATCAGCGACTTCCGTCCACCGTTACGTTTTAATGAAGTTATATCACCACCG